GATAAACCACAAGCGCATCGCACGTGCACATTTCCTGACAGCAATTTCCTGCACGGAATCATTAAACCGACCTGAGTGCCGTGTAAGTGTCTATTATACCTACCTATACACTAGCACTGTATGTGCGTTATGTATGTGTATGTGTGTATGTATATATGTGTGTGTCTATGGCTCTACTACAGCTAGCACAGCTAGCACAGCTACTACTTGTCGTGAGGTTGTTTTGAGAGGCCGGCTGCCGGCAGCAGCAGTGGCGGTGCCACCACGATCACATGCAGACTTCTCGTCGCGTTGTCGTTGTCTTCATTTCAGTGGCGGTAATGTTGATGGTGCGATGTGTGTGGTAATGTACAGCGGTGGTGGTAGCGGTGGTGGTGCCGGCGTGTTGATGGTGGTGGCCGTGTTGTGAGGCCGACCGACCGGCGGTCAGACAGCCACTCACAGACAGACAGACAGATGGATAGATGAATGGATGGACGGACAGGCAGACAGACAGGTGGATGGACGGACGGATGGCGCAGCACGCCTTCAGAGGTGCATCTGTGAAGGCGTGCATCCCACCGCTCACATACAGCCACCAACAACCACCAACAACCAACCCTCCAACAACTAGGCATGGTACCAAACGCCGCGTGCATTGCAAGGATAAGATGGCAGATGGCGGCATGCCTTCCCCTCCCGACCCTGCCTTGATACCTCCATTCAAGATTGAAGACGACGATCACGATGTTGGTAATGACGCGTCTTCCGCCTCACACCGTGCCGCTTCCGACAGTAGCAGGGCACGTGTGGACGTGGATGAGAAGATGGGGAGGGAGGAGGAGGAAGAGCTGGCGGCCACACCGCGACCCGCCGCCTCCGCTGCCGCGTCCTCCTCCTCCTCCTCCTCCCCTGTACTCTCACTCCCCCCTACACGCCCACCTCCGTCCGCCGCGCCACTCGCCTCCGCCAGCCTCCCCTCCTTTCCCCGCCCACTCCTGTCACCTTCTCCCCCACCGCTACCCACAGAATCGCGCCCCCCGCCGCCAGCGGTAGCGGCAGCGGCGCTTCCACCAGCCTTCGCCTTCGTCGCCTTCGCAACCGGCACCTTATTACGGCCCGAGGCAGCCTTATGGTGGTTCTTCCAGAGCCCTCCGTAGCGGTAGTACGGCCGGTCAGCGGCGCCGTCGACCTCGCCGCCACTGGCCTGCATCCAGCACTTGCCGCAGGCCATGTGCCAGGCAAGGGTGACGTCCACTTGGCAGCGAATGAGCAGGTCGCGTTGGCGACCGCAGAGGGTGCAGGATTTCTGGCCCCTGGATGGGTCCCCGTTACCCTGCGGAAGGGGTGAAAAGGGTGACAGAGAGCCGCTCTGTAACGAGAGATGAGAAGGAAGGCAGGAAAACACCGGGCTTAAGAATAAGCCAAACGACAGCGGCGCTGATTGATTTGGGTTAGGGGGGTAAGATGAACCACTGGCGAATGGGTCAAGGGGGGGTAGGTTGAGAAGCACGGCAAGGAGATGGAGGCCAGGGGCGCATAAGCAATCGACGCCTTGACGAAGGCAGGACCGGATGAAAGTTAAGGAGAGGTTGAGGTGAGGCTGAGGCTGGTGATGCAGGAAGTGCGCGGCTTAGGCGTTTGGGTGTGCGAGAAGCTGTTGATGCTGTCAAGAGGCGTCAGTGAGCAGTAATGATTGCTGATGCCGAAGCTTGCGGGATGGGAATAACGGGGAATGCGGGATGGGGTTCCAGGTGTTCCGTGCGTCGAAGTTTGAAAGCTTGCCTGGCGTTCCGCGCGCTTATCCGCTTTTGCAGCTTTTGTGGCGGCCTTGCGCGCAGCACGCTCCTCCGCGGTTTCATTGCGCCGGGCCATTGTGCAGACACGTCGAACGCTCCACCTGACCTGAAATGCTGTGGGCGCTGACCGTATAATTAAGCAGACATTATCGTTAAGGTATGTTCGCGACGAAATGCAAGACCGCATGCAGATGCTGTAAGGGAAACGCTGCTCCCTTCTTAGCGGTCTCTGGGTCACTTTCGGTAAGTAAATCGGGCAGCATATGTTTAAGCTGTTATAAGGGAAATGGTCATGTATAACGTTCATATCATTACAGTGGGGTAGCGGACTCGGGAATGGTGAATTGGAATATATCCACAATGCCGCGAATTGATGCCTGGGAGCAGTTGGTCCCAACGGCCATATCTACAGGGCCTTGCCATAGAGGTATGCTTACATCATACATTCACTCCTTTATTTTTGCGCCTTCTGGCGCGACGTGGCAAAAGGGCTTTTTTGCTTTCGTTGCGCCACTGGGCGAGCCACGGTTAACTACTCTTTTGCCAGGTATTGCTTGCATACTTTTCAATTTGATCACTTGTAGCTATGAGCAACGACACTAGCAAAACGGTGCTGCTCGTGGCAGCGGGGGCAGCTGTTGGGGGGGCCATAGCTTTTGGTGCAGCTTTAGGTCTGGCCACATTTTACACGCGGCGTCTTGAGGAATTAAAGAAGCCCCAGCACGAGCCGCGTCCCAGGTGAGCAAAGGTAGACATTTGCCCAAACAGCGTTCCCAATTCACGTGCTTTACACGCCCACCTTTTTGGACAGTGCGGATCCTTCACCTTCCCTTCTCCGCTATCGGCCTGATCAAGCCTTCCTGGAGCCCCCGCCGTCGAGACCCTGCGTGAGTTCCGATGCCGCGGGATTCCGACAGCCCGACTCCCGCTGCGCCACGTTAGTCCTAAATCCAACGTCGGAACCCTGTACCGACCCTCTCTCTACTCACCCAAACTGCCCTTGCGCAGGCCAACATGCACGGCCTTCCAAATGGCGGCCCCCAGCTGGCGTCGGTGCGCACCCAGCTGGCTGTCCAGGCAGCGCCACAGGCCCCCATCCCGGATCTCCCTTCCGCGGCACACAGGACCCCCCACTTCCTACAGGGCCGCAGCTACAGGGTACGGCCAGGCCGAGGGTCAAATGTGTCCTATAGGAGTTCTCGGCCCTTTACAGCACGGCTGCCAAGCCACAATGCATTTCCTTCACGTCGTCTCCGGAACACCATACTCTTCAGATGTTATCTTCTTATAGTAAATATTGGCACGTGTGATGCTTCCCTGAAACACGTGCGCGAGCTGTGATTGCAGTGCTTGTCACCAGTCGCCTCCCAAAAGCGGTGCTTGTCACCAGATGCCTCCCTAAAGCGTGAGATAAATGTTTCCCCAGACAAACCCCCGATCCCACCTCTACCGTCCGCCCATAGGATCACCTCTACGCACAAACAGCAGCTCCGTACGGCAATACCCCCGACGGCCCCGTTGGCCGCGTGTCTATGGGCGATGCCCAGTTGGTGGAGGGGGAGTCCCCTCGTGCACCTGGACTGCCAGCCAATCGACGTCGCGCCGGTATGGATGCATACCCGGTGAGGCGGGGGAAAAGTTTGGGCGGGAGTGGGGAGTAAGGGGTGGGAAGACATCCCTATGGCGGGATATCGACCACTCAGATCCGTCCAGGGCCCTATGCCCTTTCACTTTCCATGACCCACATCCGGCCCCAACACGGGCCCACCCGCTTGCCCATCACACGCGCATGTACAGGGTAACGCTCCCAGCAACACCAGCGGTGGCGGTGCAGCTTCCACCGCGCCTGTCGGCCCGTCGGCCGCAGCCGTCGCGGCGGCGCTATCCCCCGGGCCCTCCGTGCGCAAGCTCAGCAGCAACGTGGGGACCATGGGTGGCTGTGTCGGCGGGGGGGGTCATGTCATCCCTGGTTTTGCCTCGTCTTCCTCCGCGGCGGCGGCGGCGCAGGACCGTGCTCAAAAGGCGGCTCTGGACATGATGATTGCGGCAACGGGGGGTACGGGCGGCCTGGCGAGCAAGCTGGGGATGGTGGGAGGCGCGGCGGCGGGCGTGGCGGCTGCCGGGGACAAGGTATTGTTGTTGTATTTGCTGTTGTGGTGGTCCTGTTGGTGCTGGTGCTGGCAACAGTGGAATGCACTTTTTTAAAACAAGGGAAACAAGCTGACTAAGGTGCAGGAAAAAAGCAGAGTCCGCAGGACTAAGCCTGACGGACACCATGTGGGGCACTCAGGCGCGGCACTGGGGCGGGGGAAGAAGGGCGGATGCCACGAGAGGAAAACGAGGACCCAGTTGCCGCCAGGCCCTGTTTGTCTGTCTGTCTGTGTGTTGGTCTGTATGTGCAGCGGCTCGATGCGGTGATTATAGCGGATGTGCCCACTACTGCGGGCGTGGGGGGGGCGTTATTTCGCAATCCATTACGGAAGAGGGTATACATTGCCAGGGATGGAGTGCGTGTGCTGTGCTGTGGTTTGCGACTGCAGCGAGCTGCGGCGAATGTTGACCCGCAAGGATGCGGTTAGGTAAAGAGGTCGCGTGAAGGCACGGGGGGTCGGAGCCTGGGCAGAGGATGTCCACGGCTCCCGGCGGGAGGTAGGGTCTAGCAGGAGGATGCAGGGGGGCCCTTATGCAGGGGGGCCCTTATGCAGGGGGGCCCTTATGCAGGGGGCTCTTTCAATCCTTCCTTTTTTCTTTCGGGGCCGTTGGACAAAGGGCTGATACAGCGGGGCTAGTCAGGCAGGTGAGGAGTGAGGTAAGGGGTGGCGGCGTGGATTGTTGTTGGGTGAGAAGGAGATGCCGCCGGTGGTCTCGGCCCGGGGATGATGTCTCTTCGCTGCAGGTGATGTCCTAATTAGGTGACCTCAGTCCCATCTGAGGTCGCTGGGGGGGCATGACATGGAGGGTGGGCGGGTGAGGGAAGGGGCTGCGGGAGAAGAGGAAGGTAAGCGTTTGCTTTGGGTGAGGTGAGGTGAGGTGAGGTGATGTTTTGGAGTATATCTGTGCCACTTCTGCTGCTCATGCCGCTGCTGCTGCTTCTGCTTCTGCTGCAACCACATCCTCCAACGCGCTCCTGCCGCTGCTTCCGCGTCTGCTCCTGTCCCTCAGTCCGGCGAGCAGCTGTCTCTGGGTGGCCCGGGGGACGACTACAGCCGGGTCATCACTCCGGAGACCACCATGACGGACGAGGTGGAGGAGGTGTGCGCCAGCCTGGTGGAGTGCTTGGAGCTCAGGAAGCACTGGCTGTTCAAACCCGCGCGTGAGAGGGGGCAGGGAAGGAGGGAGGGAAGGAAGGGAAGGGTCTCGGGTCATGGAAGGTGTGGGTTGGGAGGGGTTTAGTTGGGTTGTGGCGGAGGGGTCAGGGCCTCCGGAAGGTATGCCCGGACGCAGTGGAATCGGATGAATGCAAGTACAGTGCGATGTGAGGAGGGGGCGAAAGAAGGGGGGAACAAACACGAGTTCCTTGATGCCTTGCCCGCGTCTGTGCGCGTCCTTTCTCACTACGACAACGGTGGCTGCGGCCGCTAAAATTGCGGCTACTGATGCGGCACTGACTCCGTTGGTGGTACCAACATCATCATGTTGCGATTCTCCTGTTGCCGCTGCGGCGCTTGTCGGTATGTGTCCCGTCCGCCTGAGGTGGCGGCTACCGCCGTGTTGAGGTGGGGCTCTATCCCACCCCAACCCCAACCCCAACCCCGACCCCGACCCCAACCCCTCGCGCAGTGTCCCCGGAGGCTCGCCGACACGAGGCCGAGGCCGCCTCGCCCTCCAAGATCATCCCCGACCCCTTCAAGTACGAGCCTCTGCCCCCCTCGGGGTACAGCTTCCGGATGGTGGACGGCGTCATGGCGGTGTACGCACCTGACGACCGAGACCAGGTCGACAACCTCTTCCCGGTGCGTCGTACGGTGTACGATGTACGGGAGGAGAGCTGTGTACGGAAGGGTGGATTCGCGTCCTGTACGGCCTACTGGTGTTGCAGGAATGACAGATAGCTAGCGATGTTGGATCGCATTTGTAGGTTTGGATGAAAAGGGCCAGGGCGCATGGAAGAAGAGACGGAGGGGTTGGTAATTGCGTGTCCGTGTTGGGTTGTGACTGCCGTACGGAGGAGTCTGTACGGTGTGGTGACGGGTAAAGTTGGGAGAGGGAGGGGGTGGGTATACGGGGTTTTCTTATAATAAACGAAGATGTTGGTGGGGTGAGCCGCCGCCCGCCGGTTGCTGTCCACTCTGCCCCTTACACTCTCGCCCTGGCAGCAGCTTCACTCGTTCGTGGTTCGTCTTTCCCCTCTGCCCCCTCGTCTGTATGCGATGCCGCTACTACCGGTGTACTGGGCGGGACATATACCCGTCCACATCGATCTGTATGTATGTATGTCCCAGCATACCATTTAGCTGTGTATGATGTGTGAAACAGGGGGGTGTATCTTCGCCCGTGGCAGCTACCCTGCGAAACCCTGCCTTCCCCGGTATTTCGGGGCACCCTCATCGAGTCACCCTAGTCAACTTCTCAGTGGATCGCTCAGGTTCCGCACCCACCACCAGCATCCAACGGAATTTGCCGGGTCGACAGCAGCCCAACTCCATTCCTGGTCGGCTCGCAGGTTAACTTTATCCCAGGTCACCACCGTCCATCAACTAGGGGCGCAATACCTTCCACCATCGGAAGGATTTTTGACCCTAACGGGTATCGATCCCGGGATCTCCCGGGGGCAATGGTCGCGCGTTGCCAGTAGTGCCAAACCCTAGTATATTGACTGTGTGTGTGCGCGTGCGTGCATATCTATGCTGTGTGCCAGGTGCCCGGTACGGCATCGGAGTTCTTCACGGACATGCACCGCATCCTGCGGTACGCCGCATCGGTGAGTGCGTGCGTGCGTGCGATTGTACGTATCGGAGCGGGAGTTGGGTGTCGATGAGGTGTCAGGGGGGTTGCATCTGACTCATGGACTCAAACTAATGTCGTTATGCATAATCAACAAATATCAAAAACTCGGGCATGCCCAAGTACATAAATTCTCCGGAAACTTGAAAAACAAAAGGGGTGTCAGCGCTCATCACACCCTGGTAGAATTACGGGTGTTGGGGGCAAGTGGAGGCCGCGTCAGCTTCTCCTGTTACTCCCTTCGAGCTTATTTCTCCTTCGACGAGGACGCCGCTGAGTTGGGGTGCGTCCATTCCGGACGGTCGGACCCTCCTATTTCATCCCTCATCTTTCCCCTCTCATTTCCCCTCACCTATCCCACGAACTTTGGACGCCGTGGCAGTTCATTTCTGAATCCTTGCATATGATTTCCCCCTCTCACTCCCCTCTTTTCCCCCTCCCCTTCCCCTCCTTCAAAACCGCCTACTGGTCAGTTCTGCTTCTTGTACACTCTTTCCTTGCCAGCAGCTTCACTCGTTCTTCGTCTTCTCCCCCCCCCCACACACACACACCACCCCAGGGCCCCGTCAAGTCGTTTTGCCACCACCGCCTCATCCTGTTGGAGCAGAAGTTCAACTTGCACGTCATGCTGAACAGCGACAAGGAGTTCAGGGCGCAGAAGGCGGCGCCGCATCGTGACTTCTACAACGTGCGCAAGGTTGGTGGAAGGGTGTGGCAACGGGATCAGGAGGACAAAGGGGGCCGGGCTGGGCGGCCGGGAGCGGGTGGGGTGGGGTTCCACCCCGTCCATTACGCCGCCCCTTTTCCAACCTAAAGCAAAGATCCCCCGACTGCGATACGCTCATACCTTCCTCCTTAAGCCCGACGCCCCTTTGCCCTTTGCCCTCCCGCCTCCACGGTGCCCAGGTTGACACCCACATCCACCACAGCGCCTGCATGCACCAAAAGCATCTGCTGCGTTTTATCAAGTCCAAGTTGAGAAAGGTGAGGGAGCCGAGCAAGGAGGTTAGTATCGCCCATGGAAAGGTCAAAATCGTGGCGAGTATAACGAAGCGATTCGGAAGCGATGTTAATAATATAATTGAGAAGAGGCGAACGAGAGGGAGAGGGAATTGTTGAAGAGGGCAGTTGAAGCGCGTTGGCGATCAGCACACTTGCCCCAGCGCTGGTGCTGGCGGTTGTTGTTGCAGAACGGGTCTCCTCTCCACGCACTCCCCCCACCCTCAAAACCGCCTACTGGTCAGTTCTGCTTCTCTTTCCTTGGTAGCAGCTTCACTCGTTCGTGGCTCGTCTTTCCCACCCACCCCCATTCCTCCTCACAACCCTTTTGGCGTTGACGCACCACTTCACCTTCCTACTCTTACTGCACCACGTCCTGTCTTTAACGCTCAGCTGGTGTTGATTTCCAAATCTGTTTCCATTGTTGCCAAGATATGTTCATGCCCTCCCAACTTTAGACGTAGGCAGTTGTTTTTCCTTCCTGACTTCGCTTGTAAATACCAGTGTATATTTACCCCCCCTTCACCTCGACTCCGAAAGGAGCCGGACGAGGTGGTCATCTTCCGCGACGGCAAGTACCTCACACTCAGGGAAGTGTTCGAGAGCCTCAACCTCACAGGTACGACAACAATGAAGAGCGTGAGAACGTGAGAGATAGAGGTGCGCCCTGCTGTAGAGGATGGAAGCTGTTTTTCACCTCCCAGCCTTTCCTACGCACACACTCACACTCACACACACACACACGCACAGAGGTTTACCTGTCTGGCCCGCAAAAAATATCGCATACCGCTATGCCGCTCTCTCCACCAATTGAAAAAGTATTCTTCTTCTTCTTCCAGATGTCAGTTGTCTGGCAGCGAGTAGCTCTTTTCTTTAAAGACAAATGATAAATCCTGTATGGGTCTTCGCCCTGAGCTTACGTTTGGGCCATCCATGGGCCATTCCCATTTTTACCCGCGTCATTTATCACCTCCCCCTCCCCTTCCCTCGCCTTCATGTATCGTTGCACCTCATTTTCCCCCTACCTGCTTAGCTCGCTCCCTCGCTCCCGCCAATCCTTGCCCGCCTCCTTCCAGGCTATGACCTGAATGTTGACACGCTGGACATGCACGCCGACAAGAACACTTTCCACCGCTTTGACAAGTTCAATCTGAAGTACAACCCCTGCGGCCAGTCCCGATTGAGGGAGATCTTCATCAAGCAGGCGAGCAGAACACAACAGAGTTGCGTGCAAGTGTGTGTGTGTGTATGGATCTCCCGCGTCACATGCACGTGCGAGTTCTCGTGCGAGTTCTCGTGCACACACCACGGCGGGCATGTTGCTGTGCGGCGACGTTGCTGCAGGACGCACACACACACGTCAAGCTTAAACCGCAGTCTCCCCGCCCTCCCCCTGTTCCCTACTACGCCTACTGGTCAGTCCTGCTTCTTGTACACTCTTTCCTTGGCCGCAGCTTCACTCGTTCGTGGTTCGTCTTCCTCCCTGTTCCCTCTCCGCTCTCGCCGCTTCCCTCGTTGCCCACCCTTACTCCCTCCCCTCCCTCCCTCCCTCCCCTCCCCGTCCCTCCCCTGCCCCTCCCTCCCTCCCCTCCCCGTCCCTCCCCTGCCCCTCCCTCCCTCCCTCCCTCCCCATCCCCACCTCCCGCGGTCCTTCAGGACAACCTGATTCACGGCCGCTTCCTCGCCGAGCTGACCAAGGAGGTCTTCTCCGACCTGGAATCGTCCAAGTACCAGCACGCCGAGATGCGCATCTCGATATACGGCCGCAAGGCCATGGAGTGGGATATCCTGGCGGCCTGGGTGGTCGGGTTCCAGTTGCACTCGGACAACAACGTGTGGCTCATACAGGTGGGCGGAGGATGGAGGCAAGGAGAGGGAAGGAAGGGGAAGAAGGGGAGAGGAGGGCGAAGGAGTTTTGACAGCCTCGTTGGTTGACGGAACCGGATGTTACCTGAACGGTGCGGGAAAGGGGAAGTGTGAGAGAGAGAGAGGGGGAGATCACAAGATGGGGAATGTCCGGCTTTGGGGTGATGGCGTGCGCGTGTTCTCCCTTCTTATCTTTTCAATTACGTTTCATGTTTCTTGCTCTGCTCTCTGCGCTCCTCCGGGCGCGCATAGATCCCTCGTCTGTACAACGTGTACAAGGAGACTGGCGTCATTGAGAACTTCCAGCAGATGCTTGACAACATCTTCGAGCCGCTGTTCGAGGTGACGGCCGACCCTTCGACACACCCGCAGCTGCACGTGCTGCTCAGCATGGTGAGTGGGTTTTGTCCGGGACTGGAAAGGGGGAGCGTATGTGCGTGTGCGTGTGTGTGTGTATTTGTATATGGGAGCGTTTGACGGGCTGTGTGGGCTGCAACTCGAGCATGAGGGGGGAGATGGCGCGTGCAAGTGGCGGTGTTGCCGCGGCTGGGCTCACCCAAAGAAGTAAAAGTAGTGGAAAAAGGGGGGTGTTGACACATGAGGTTCTTTACGTAAGAGCTGCAGAGTTTAGTCCCCCTTAACCACGGCACGTGTGTGAATGTATGTATGTTACGTAGCTGAGCTGGCGTGTGTAAGTGTGTGTATGTATGTGCGTGGTGCATGGGCGGTTGCAGGTGGTTGGGTTCGACATGGTGGATGACGAGTCTAAGCCCGAGCGCCGCCCCACCAAGCACTCGGAGCCGCCCCAGCGGTGGAACACGAAGCACAACTGCGCGTACGCCTACTACGCCTACTACATATACGCCAACCTGTGAGTTACTGCTACCGTGAATTTGCTGCTGCTATTGTTGCTGCTACTGCTGCTACTGATGTTGCTGCTATTGCTGCTTCTGCTGTTGCTACTTTTGTTGTTCGCGCGTTCCGACTGAGCGGCTGGGTTGTGTGTGGCTGTTTGGCTCTTTGTTGGGTGTTTGGGTTGGGAGCCAGTGCTGTAGCCGGTGGCGAAGTGCCGTAACGCAAGCAGCAGCATGTCATGTCCGGGCCGGGCCGGGCAAGGGCCTTGCCTGACCTCCTCCCACGCCGCATTCCTAAATTCCTGGACGGGCGCCACGCCCGGGCCCCCCATCTTGTATCACTCTTTCCTTGACAGCAGCTTCACTCGTCCGTGGTTCGTCTTTCCCCTCCGACTTTCAACCCGCCCTCATGACCCCGGAACCGGTGGAGGATGTTTCCTGCCCGCCCGCTCACCCACCGATCCCTCCCTCCCCCCCTCCACACACACACGCTGGCACCCCCTCCACGCCCTGACCCCCCACAGCTACGCGCTCAACAAGTTCCGGGAGTCCCGGGGCCTCAACACCTTCTCCTTCCGCCCCCACGCTGGCGAGGCGGGCGACGTGGACCACCTGGTGGCGGCCTTCATGCTGTGTGAGAACATTGCTCACGGAATCAACCTGAGGAAGAACCCCTGCCTGCAGTACCTGTGAGTGGGGCGGTGGGGCGGACTGACTGGCTGACTGGTTTGTCGGCTGAAGCAGTGATTCACCAGCTTTTATGGTGCATGGTGCATGGAAACTGAAGAGCCGCAAAGATGTGAAATTGTGGTTGTGCGGTATGCTTGGCTGCCGGTATGTATGCGAGTATGTAAGTATGTATGTATGTATGTATGTATGTATGTATGTATGTATGTATGTATGTATGTATGTATGTATGTATGTATGTATGTATGTATGTATGTATGTATGTATGTATGTATGTATGTATGTATGTATGTATGTATGTATGTATGTATGTATGTATGTATGTATGTATGTATGTATGTATGTATGTATGTATGTATGTATGGATGGATGGATGCTTTTAGCTCTGTATTGCTGGTTGCGGTGTTGTTTGTGATGACTGGCAGGGTGTTAGAGCGCGTAATATCGGTGAGAGCTCTAACGCGCTACAACACAGGGTGAGCAAAGGGAACAATGTGGTAGCTGCCTTGTACTCCTCTGTCCCCCTCCGTCTCCCTCCCCCCACTCCATCATCTCCGCTCGGCTGCTCACGGATACATCTCGTCAGTCCGAATCAGCTATGTCGTGTTCTCGCCCTTCCCTCACACTCACCCCGTCCCGCCCTGCCGGCCTCCCTCCCCCCTTTCACTCCCCTGTCCCTCCCCCTCGCCCACAGCTACTACTTGGCGCAAATCGGTTTGTGCATGAGCCCGCTGTCCAACAACTCCCTCTTCCTGGATTACCACCGCAACCCCTTCCCTGTCTTCTTCGCCCGAGGGCTCTCCGTGTCGCTGTCCACGGACGACCCGGTGATGATTCACCTCACCAAGGAGCCGCTGGTGGAGGAGTACAGCGTGGCGGCCCAGGTGGGCGGGTGGCGCAGGAGATCTGTTTGTATGTGTGTGTGTGGGGGGGGTTGCGAGTGTGTGTTTTTAAAAAAAGTGAGTGTTTTAGAGGACTGCGCGGGAGATCTGTTTGTGTGTGTGTGTGTGTACGTTTTGTGAGGGCCGGGACGCTGGGCCTAGCGCCCATGAGCCTCATCCTCCCGCGTCTCTTTCTCCCCTCTTCTTGACCACTCCCACTTCCCTCTTCCCTCCTTTTGCCGTCCTTTTCCAACTCACTTCGCGCTGGCTACCTGTCCCTGCCCCGACGTGCCTTTTCCCTTGAGTCCCTTTTCCGCTGTGTGCAACCTCCCCCCTCATCCCAGCTCTCCTTCCCCCTCTACCTCTCGGGTCGGTCGCGCGTTTTTTGGGGGGTTGGGAGGAGCACTTGCGTATCACCAGCCTTTTATTACCAGCTTATCAGGCAGTTCTTGGCCAACCTCGTCAATCCCGCCGCCAGGCCGGCGGCAAACTGTATTCCAGCTTCACGTCAGCAGTTCTTTACTACTTTTCCGCCGCCTCTACACCTACCTTAACTTCTTTACGGCTTGGCATTACTGCTTTTCTTCCGCGCTTATTTTAGTCTTGGCGGCTAGGTAGGTAGTTTTCCGACATCTTCTTCACTACATCATTCCGAGGTCGCCGCCTTCAAGAACGCCTTTTGGTCAGTTCTACCCTTGGTATACTCTTGGCCTGGCAGCACCTTCACTCGTTCGTGGTTCGTCTTTCCCCCTCTACCCAACACACGCACACACACACACGCTCGCGCGCGCGCGTGCCACTGCTGAACCCACTGTGCCCCCCCTCTCCACAACCCCCCCCCCCTGTTGCATCTCCTCCCCAACCCCTTGGACACCTGCAGGTGTTCAAGATGAGCAGCGCGGACCTGTGCGAGATTGCCCGCAACGGTGTGCTGCACTCGGGCTTCCCGCACGCCTGCAAGAAGCACTGGGTGGGCGAGGACTACTGGCGGCTGGGCCCGGAGGGGAACGACATCCACAAGACCAACGTGCCCAACCTCAGACTGCGGTTCAGGTGGGGCCTGCAACCCGGGAGGACAACGAAAACCACAACACTGATAGGAAAAGATAATTGAGTATGGGGGGGAAAGGGTGTAGAGGAAAGGTTATCAGTAAGGTTAGAAAAGCAGCGGGACATGGGGGAGGCGTGAACGCGCTCAGGATGGTGGCAGTGACAGTGACAGTGGTGTTGGTGTTGGTGCTGATATGGCTATGTCGCTCGGAGTGAGGCGCCGCCCTGGCAACGCAAGGCGACACATCCTCCCCCTCATCTTCTTCCTCATCTCCTTCCTTCTCCCTCGCCGTGTTTGTCTCGGCTCGTCAAGCCCCATGTTCGGACCCTCACCACCCGGGGCGGCGCCTTCAGGTTTGCGGGAGGAGGACTAGGATATATCTAAATCTTTTTGCAATTCTTCAAGAGAATTATATATTTTTTTACGCATCGCAGTATCAAAAAATTCTTCTTTCAAGGTTTTGTGAAATCTCTCACACATACCATTGGTTTGCAGAGAGTAAGCTTTAGTAGTAGTAGGCTCTATACCTTCAATACTTAAAAATAATTGAAATGCATGGTTTTCTAGTTTACCTCTATATTCAATACCACGATCGGTTAAAACTCTTAAGAATTGGATTACCTTGCTCTTCATACCAAGGTAATAGGGTTCCGCCTGGCATACTCGCACATACGCGCACGGCCACACGCCCACGCCGTACCGACCGTATACAGAGGACCTAGGAGCTGGGGCCTTTTCATCTTTTCGCGCGTTGCGCTAGTCTGCCTTGTTCAGCGTGCTTTACGTAATGTCGCAATGAATCGCAATTCCTCTCCTACGCCACTTTCCAAACCTTTCGCTCCAACCGCCAACCGCAGGCACGAGACGTACTGCGACGAGATGCGGATTGTGCTGCACGGGGCGGTGTCACACCAGGCGAGGAAGGCCGCGATGTTGGCCGCCATTAGGAACGAGTGATAATAACAAGGCATCGAGAAGGGGGAGTAAGACGGGAAGGAGGTGGAGTAGTTATGAGATGGTGGGATGGTGGTGGCAAAACCGGGGGGTCCAGACCGGGACGTGGATTGCCTGGGCAGCTGGGCGCGTGTGGAAACGGTGAGTGCCGCCCAGCGCGAGGAATGCTGTCGTGTCCTGGACTGCTGTCGTTGGTTGTGCTCCTTCCACAATGCTAAGTTGTGGTGACGGCTTATTTTCGTTTGACTTGGTTGCCGCAGTGGCCTCAAACGCAGTTTACGTTTGCAGATCAGGCAGCACCTGGGCTGGTAGCACACAGGGGGAACTCAGGCTGGGGGCACTCGTTGCGTTAGGGAGGGCTCCGGGAGGGGCTTGGGTCCCTATGGACCCCCTCTTCCACCCCGGCGATGGCGGTTGGGGCCACAGCAGCACAGATGGAGGGGGGGGGGAAAATCTTAGACAGCGCGATGAGACGACATTCGGCCGCCTGGGTCTGGGAAGCCCGAGTGGCGTGTGGCCACTGGTTCAGCCACCTAGGGGATGCCGCGGTGAAGTTGGATACATGCATGTGGCTTATGATCTGATTGAGGGCAGTCGGCGGCGGCAATGGCAGCAGCAGATCCAGCAGCAGTTAGTCAGGAAGTGAAGCAGGAGGCAAGGAATGGAGAGCGAAATCTTAGCGAACTACAGCTAAGGGGTGAACAGGCAGGTGGCGCTGCGCTTCGGTAGCTTTGCTCCGGTGGCTTTGCTTAATGGGGGGGGGAGGCTGCAGAGTTCTCCTCTCTTTGTTGTGCATCGTAGGTCAGAATTAGGGCAGGTGGGGATTGGGTGGTGCTGGGGTGTGTGTGCGTGTGGATGAATCCACGCAACAGGATTTGTTACCCTGGTGGAAGCTGGGCCTTCTCCTCAATGTCACAACAGCCACGGTCCAAGGTGTGGGCAGAATGTGGAGCAGCAGAGTCCTGTATGTATGTATGTATGTATGTATGTATGTATGTATGTATGTATGTATGTATGTATGTATGTATGTATGTATGTATGTATGTATGTATGTATGTATGTATGTATGTATGTATGTATGTATGTATATATGTATATTCGGTCGTTACGACGGTCTCTGATGCCGCCACGTGGACCTGGTAGCGGGCTCGCGGTGTGTGTTTGTATAGCCACTGAGGTTGTTCGGCTACAGATGGTGGGGGCAAGGCCATTGCGGCCTGAGGCCTGCGGACCGGCGGAAGGGGAAGAAGAGGTACGGGAGGTCTAATGTTTGAAGAACACCGACCCCAACGTTCTCAGGTGATGGACTGTTAAACGACATGTTCTCCTGTAGCGATGAGGCGGCGGCACACACGTGCGCTGAACACCTGGCAGCGCACTTACAGCTATATCTCGACCTAGGCCTCATGCGGTGAAGGTAATGAGCCAGATTCGTCGTTCGAAATGATGAGCCGGAATTTACTGATAGGTAGGGGAACGTGATTGTCTTCTTGTTGGACCGGACGGGACTTGAGGTTGAGGTGGACCTGACTGGGTTGTGCGAACAGGGTCCTTGCCGGGGCGCTTCCGTGTAAGGGTTCGGCGCTGGAGGCATGGGAGCCCTCCGGGATGGACGGCGGCGAAGATCCCGGGTGGTGGTAGGGGTAGGGTCGTCATCTCATACGAGCAATGCGCACCTGCCTACACATTCAAAAAACCGGAATTGATTGCTCGCAGAGAGAAGAAATACAGACTGGATGTGAGCTCCGCAGTAATGAGCGTATGTATTCCGTTGGAAGCGAAACGGGCAGAGAGAGAGAGAGGGACGAGAAGGGTTGGGTCTTCCTGCGGCTCTCCACAGACCGCCCTACCAGGCGGGTATGCTGCAGTGTTTCGGGTATAGAGACGCCCGAAGGCGACGTACCGGCTCCGGATTGGAAAATTGTTGCGCCATGTACTGCTTGAAGATGGTTTGGTACAAGTCATCGTACGTATTTTGGGTGCTGTGGATAAGTTCTTGTAGATGAGGCCCTGCTCCAGCCCCAGCCGGGGCCCGCGTGTCGCGATTTGGCCAGGATTTTGGCCAGGAGACAAACAAGCCCTGATCCTCGCCCGGTAAATCGGTGGGAATTTTGTGCCGCTATGCCGAGACCGAGAGCAGCGTATTGACGAAATTGGCTTGGTGAGCGACAGGCCGGCCTGCTTGCGACATACATTCAGGACGCACGCGTCGGAGTGCGTGGCCACTGGTACAACTGATGCTGGCGTGGCATGACGTGTGTTTACTGCCATGCACGCTGCACGAATAGGAGTTCTTAGGTGCGGTGAGTTGTTCCGGCTTCACGCAGGAACATAGATTTGCGGTGCTCAAGGTTAGGACACACAGAGGTGCTGTGTGTAGATGTATACGCGCGCGGAGGTTGAGATGGAGTCGCCTTGTGTCGACAGGTTATTGGTTTGGACGGCAAAGGCTGGGACCGGCTCCTGTCGTGCCTGGGGTATATCGAAGAACGGCTTTGGACGATAGAGCTGTGCACCATGGATGCTGACCCCCTGTTGAAAATGGCCCTAACGTATACATAGCTCCTTGAGCACACTTTCCTCGCGGCAATTTGCGCACATCAAGTGTAAGTACGCGTAACAAAAAATGGAGTGAACCTGTTAAGTAAGAGGCCGTTCGATTGCATCACAGTCCAAGCCCTGTTCCATGATTCTTTGTTGTAGGAGCTCCGCGCAACATCATCTTTCAGTCAGGTGGCTACAAGAAAAGCATTTGGACTATGATGACTGGACATTAGTCAGACATCTTGGCTTTTCTCCCGCAGTGCGCTAAGAGACGCTGGGCACGTCAAGCGGAATGAACCGGCATGGAGTTAATGCGTATAAGTGATGTAATTGGCGAATAGCCATTTGGACGGCAGGAAGGAACGAGAAGTGGGGCCTCAGCAGACAAACAGTTGTTGCTCGCCTGACAAAAGCAAATATACCTATACCACCTCTGTATTCGGGAAATAAAAAAAGACAAAAATAGGCACAATTTCGGAAGTCACTTAGAGACGCAAAGGCAAAATTTCTGCGACCACGGTGGGACTCGAACCCACAATCCCCGCCTAATCCCCGAAATACCGGAGGGCGATGCCCTATCCATTGGGCCACGCGGCCTAAAGATGCCAAATTGTTGGCCCAGAAACTAAATATTAGTGAAGCGTATGAAGGAGTATGAAAAAGTATGAAGGAATATGAGTGAAGGGGCACCCCCGGGATAGGAGCCGGAGGGCTTCCGATATTTCTTTATTTCCATGTCTAAGAACAACAGAAGAAAAAAATACAATAACATAGTCTACAGTCATGTTATCCATCACCGATTTCCCCTTTAAATAATGGACACGGGGGTTGGGGTTCGGCTTTGGATGTGTACTGATGGATAGCTTAACGGCGTCGATAGAAGGAGCCATAATTACGCATATTTATAACGCAGGACAGTTTTGTTGTGTTGTGCGCTGCTGTCCCGCCCTCTCCCGCACACCTTCCCAAGCCCGCTGCTTCCACCATTCTTGCTGTAAATTTAACGAGCGGCCCCCGCGTGCAGCTGTCCTGTTGAGAAGATCGCTCTTCAAGGATGTGAAGGCAAATTGAAGGCATTTCATTTGGCGGAAGGTAGCATAGGTCGCAGCCGATCCCTTCAGCCGGCGGTCCTTCGTTGATGCAGAAAAGCCCAACGGCTCTCCCAAGGTATGGGCCCATGCACACACATCTTGCCCCATGCTCAACGGATAACTCCCTGAACGCTGTTATAACGCCTGTTTTCATGCCATTGTGCCATGCTGGGCTTTCACGCACTAGGAGGACATTCCCACTAGATCGCTGGGAGCAAGGACTGTTGGGGTAAATGTTAGCCGGTCAGTCTGCCGCCTGGTGCGTACGCGGTAGTTGGTTTCGGCTGTGGTTCAGAGCCATCTTCCGTACTGATCTGATCGACTGTCGAACTGGAATAAGAGACAATGAATGTGCTATCCTCGTTGGTTTGGTATGCTTGTAAAATAGTGAGTTGTGGCTGAGCTGAGCCGTTAGTTGCTTTCGTAATGTTCATAATTTGGTCCGCTTAAATAGCCATGCTAGCGCGCCACAAC